TGATGCTTTAGTCAGTGCTTTCAATAACAAAGTGTTTTCCACAATAGAAGGCGATCAGCAACAAAATGTTGTCGACAACAGTCAGACCGATGATAAAATCGTTGCCGATGCGAACGGTAAGTTAATCTTTTACCCCCAATAATATATATGTAAGCCAACGTGTGCGTCCGCATTGATGTGTGCGTATGTGTATTGGCGCGAGAACGATTGTATGTAAATGCGTGCATTAAATATGTGTGTGTTTATTCCATATATATAAAACACAATTAATTCGCATTAATCGCAGTCAAGGGGGCTGTTTTTGTTATTGTATGCGGTTAACCACTTTTAAAATCGTGTGGTAGCGGGAAGGTGCAAAAATCCCTTACCTTACCACACAATTACGACTGCAATACATTTTTAACAAGGTCATGGTTAGTCATTCATATTCATCTACGTGAATTCATACACACATACATACATACATACATACATATATACATACATGTATACATACATACATGCATACATACATACATGCTTGTACATGTATTTAAAGACACATATGCATGCATGCATCCGTTCCAGCAGAATCGTGTATGTGTATGCGTGCGTATGTATATATATATATATATGTGTGTGTGTGTGTTTGTAACTCTAACGCACAAACCTACTCATAATTCCATAGTGACACTGCTTACAGACACGAATTGATGCGAATTTATTTATATAGATATAATAAGCCATTAATTTTGAATTTCTCTAAGGTATATATATAATTTGCTAGGGTGTGTAGTTTAACCATATCGTCACTACATAAGACCGATGCATTCTTTTATTCATTATATCTTTTTAAAAGCAATTAAACAGTTAGTACCAAAGCGTAGAGAAACTTAAAGCTTTTAACAAGCGACACGAATATATATGCAGAAGGATGACTGCAAGGATCTATTACATTTGATTGATTTCGTGCAAGAGTTCATATCAGATATCAATAATAAATTGTAAAGGAAATCTAATAAAATAATCAATCTCTCTGCAAAAGCTTTTCATAAAGTTTATGCCTTTATGCAAAACGACAGTGATGCTTGTTTTCCGTTAATTTCCACACTATCTTTTGTAACGCAAGCTTGGGCGTCTTTGCTTAATAGCTTAGTTGAGGATTAAGGCGTTTTAGTAAATGAAAGAAAGTCGACTTTGATGGTTTATTTTTAATTAATTTTAACGTTAATTCATCATTAACTTTACGCGGTATTTAATAGAATTTCTTTTTTAACAATGAATTTATTTATTTTTTGAAATTTTATATCTCACGACTGTCATATAATAGCCGTTCAAATTTATATTTGTGTCATAAAAGTGATGACCAAACGAAATGATACATTTTTTTAGGCAAGACGCAGTCGAGTATTAAGACTTAATCCTTTCTATTTAGGGTAAAGGTACAATGCAATGATATCTGAACGCAATCTTTTACGATAGACTTCACAAAATATATAAAAGGGTTAATGAAAAAAGTATTTGATTAAATCCGCTAGAGTAAGCCATTTCGAATCATTTAAGCCATATAAATAGTAGGAGGTATATGTCTGGAAAGACGAACGAGACGATGCCGATAGAGAAGGGTAATGTGAATCAATAATCAGTAATAAAGTATCATTCATCTCTCTCTCTCTCTCTATTCCAAACCTTTTGCGAGACATTGTCCACATCCTTGCCTAGCGTTAGACTTGAAAAATACTTTTTAGAACCACCGTGATGTACTGGCATGTACATTTTGCTTTACATGCATAAATATTCTAAATGTCATGTTAATTTTAATAGCATTTAAATGTTTATTTTTGGATACATTAAAATTATATAACAATTTTCATATACAATTTTCATATGTTATATAACTAACCATCTTTAAAAGGACATATATGATAATATATATGTATACATATATATATATATATATAAGCATTATGGAGAAAAAGTCAATTTTAATTAAGATTAAAAGAAATCCCGAAATAATTAAGCCTATGATGTCTCTCTCTCTCTCTCTCTCTCTCTCTCTCTCTCTCTCTCTCTCTCT